ATATGGGTCTATAATACTGTCTTGTAAACAGTTAACTACTGGTTTTGTACAGTTTATTGTTGCTTCATATATACAGACAACAAGATATAATATTTTCGGCAATATGACTACTACCAAATTGGTTGCGGTGGTGATACCTATCATTTTGGTCTTCCATCAACACTCGTGCGCTTTTGCACCATGAGTCGTTTCATGCACATCATACCAGATTTAATCATGACACTCTGTTGACAACACTAATTTACCTCATTATAATGTAAATGTGCATAACCTGTGTTTATTTTCAATGAGAGGATGCTTGAATGCACAGTAGTGCTTTCAGCCTCTACTCGCCAGTTATTTACAATGTGCCTCAAGATTTAATTATGGAAAGTCCAATCATTTCCAAAGCATTATCTATTTCAACAATGTTCTTCCTATTGAACATTTCTCTACTCAACACCTTACTCAAATCATTCATTACCTTTATATAATCCTCACCACTTACTTGTTTTTTATTTTCTTCCAGGCGAGATAATTCAACCAGCACCTGTACCTCCTACTGGTTAAACTTGACAATTATTTTTACTTTATTCTTACTCGAATGTTTTTTGTAAAATTGTTGTTTATTGTTGGTTAAAATAAAAACTTTATTATTTCCTTGTTCATTACAGACGATTATTTTATTCACACTATTTTTACCTGGTTGTCTTCCAACTAGTCTGCTAGTGATGATCGAGTGGTGGGTGGGTCACAGTCAAGTACAAATAAGCCATTCACTGCCAAAGAACAAATATAATCATTCTTTCCGATCAAGTACTTTAACCTCCCCCTCTTGATTCAAATGACGTAACCAAAAGACTTAAAAAATCACCTACTTCGTATAACACACAACACCATATTCACATAATTGTTCGTACACGTATACATTGTCACAGCAAAATCAATTCCATAAATTTACCAATGGCTCAAGCAAATCATTTGCCCATATTAACTATAGCCTCTTGTAAGCCATCTAATACTTGTGGCTTGTGTTTCAATTACATAAGGTTAGTCCAAAAATGTCAGCTTCTATTATTTGAACACTCTGGAAAAACACAATCCCATTATCAAGGTCACGTTTATATTGCGCTGGTCCCGCTAACTCTGGATCTCAAAATTATGACAGGCGTGTAAGTAAACAATTATTTTGTTTTTCAATTATATCATTATACATGTACTATCACTACATTGATATCACAGTATCAATTTACCGTGATGAAAATCCGCCTTGAATACTAGTATACACAGTGCACTTAATACGACGAAACTCACCTTGAATTGATCTTGAGACGCCCGCAAAGGTCACAGCAAACAGCACGCAATTTTATTCACGTCCAAGTAGGATATAAACTGAATGTTATACCGGATTTTACCACTTTACTTTCGTACTCAAAAATTACGTTCATTCATATATTTGCTAACGCAGACTGCAGAGATTTTTGGCTGAGAAAACAGGCAGCGCCCATCAAGATTTGTTGAAAAGTCGTATTTACATGTGAAAGAAATTCCACGTAGGTCATCTATTTTAGATCTTTCCCGCGAAACCGAACGCCGTAGGTGAACAGAAAATTGAAGGTTAATGAAGGGCGCCCCCAAACAAGCAGATAAAGAAATATTTGTTTACTTTTGGCATTTCCCCGACATGAACTTCGTCTTTGTTGGTATTTTGTTTTTTGTATAATTATGAAACAACAATTACCGAAGTGATACCAAATGAGTGAAAATGTGGTATGTAATGTGGTATAATGGCACTGATTTTTTGTTCGTACATCTAGACACAATATTTGCATATGCAAATTATGCCACTAATAACGTTATTCAGATGACAAATACAGCCATGCAATTATTCCATTTCCCCGAAGTTTGTTTTTCAACTCCATTCGCAAACACATTGTTTTGTTTTGTATTTTGTTTCTAAATTGCCATTCGTTTTGTGTTTTATTTTGAATGTTTAAGAACATATTATATTTTTCTAAAATTTTGACAACAAATCCTAAAAGCCTCTAGCGCCCATACTTTTATCTTTAAAGGACCGTGGTCGTCGCGCCGCGTCCTGTTCGATATGAGACTCATAGCGACGTATACAACGCGTGTAAAATACATTGTTTGTTTACATAAAATTCGAACACGCGCTGCGCGACGACCACTACCCTTTAAAATTATTTTTTGGTCATGTCTTATTAATGTATTCCAAAGTACACTTATTAGTTAAAATGTGTACATGGACGTTTCTCTCACCTTCTCTATCGTAGTTTTGTTAAACGTGATATATTTCCTATTCCAATGTTTGAAAATACGTGTTGTACGTGCTTGGGTTAACAACGTGCGCCCTCATCGCTGAGGTTAGAACTTCTTTTGTTCAACGAGGATATGACCCTGATACGGAGTGTCTGGGCTTTTATTTGCCCAAACATCTGATATCATACCCTGCGTGGAACGGGTAAATCAAAAACATATTTGTCCAAAAAAACGCTATAAATAATATAGTCATCGGCAATCATGCTTGCAATTCGTTCAGTTTTTCAGTTTATGATTTTCAAAAGCAGATGAGACATTTTCTAATTTTCTTTTAATCTATTATTTCCCAAATCAGTCTTTATTGCCCATAAACATCGCACATTTAAATTAAAATGTATTTTCCTGTGAAAAAAACTATCTATAATATATAGCTCTCCGGTACAACTATCATTGTACTCTTCAGTGCTACATAGAATTCATTTCTTGATTGTTAAATATCTTGTTTTTTCATCAGGTTTGTGATCAAGTCATGTTGATCATAGTATTTCTTACTTGATTACTCCTGCCTTAGAGTTCTAAGGATTTCATTACATCCTCAAACTGAGTACGTTTCACCAGAACAATTTATTTGGTTTAGATATCATTTGCCATGGCGTTTTGCACACACATCTGAATATCTCCAGTTTCAAATTATGACGTTACTCCGATATTTCACTGATTACGGAAGAGTTATTTGGGTTAGCTTAGATTAAATCTTATATCTTTGTTTTGGATGTCTGGGACGAGGTTGTAATTCACTACTTGAATCTGATTGGATTGTCGCTCCATTTTATTTTGAACAAACACCGAGGCAAATCGGTCAACAACAAGATCGCCACCATTATTTGAAAGTGGGATGTTTAACTCACGCCATCAGGGAATATTGAATAGTACTTACTACGTGGATGCATGTGTGTGAAATTATGAATCACAGTGCATCGCATTGTTTAAATTAAATCACGTTTTTGAAGCAAAAACATCATTATTATTATAAAAGTATTCCTATAAAAAGCTCCAATAATTTGAACCCGTGCTCATTGATCGTATAAGGCTCAAAGGAAAGCTCTTCAAATCTAGCGAAAGCGTCTTGTCACTGACGGATTCATTTTAACCACCTTAGAGGGTATAATATATATACCCCCTAAGTATCAGGTAATTCGATGGTGATTAAAGTGTACCTATGCGGTCAGTTTATATCAGTTTATTGTTTTTCAATATGAAAGTATGTATGTGTACATGACGGCGTCCTTACCATGGATGAATTACCTGCCAGTCTCATCGTCCTAGTCTTACTAGTGGTAACATTGAACGAAACAGGTGAGGAAACTAACTCTTCGATTAACTGATTTTATAATCATTTCTATCTTGACGCGAATGGTGTATTAAATAATATTATCGACGACTGTTGTATTCAAAGTTTGCATATGTGGTGAGCTGTACCGTGATATGGCTGGATGAATATCTCCGCGGGAGAGGGAAGGGTAGGTCACACATTGCAGGCAGATGATTTGTGTGTACATGATACCAACTAACAAACGCGCGATTATTTCTCAGAAAAATGTGTGCATACAACTTGAGCTTCCGCTTTTTTCTCTTCTCAGGATGTAACAATTACCCCCTCCCCAATACTGGTTCATCCCTTAGTTTTTAAATTATAAAGTGTATTATGTAAACCACCGAGTACTGTTTTGTATACCAAATAGTAGGTTATCGCTACTCGAGCTGAGCTGCAGTTAAAAAGCTGACTGAAGTGGTTTAGCTACAACTTCACGATAACAGCTCATCTCGCCAATAATGCCTTTCACTGAATTCTATTGGCAGTCTTTTACAGGCGAGTAATTCTAGTCTTCCCACGTACATACGTACCTTCACTTCTACAATTTGAAACAAGTCACAATGTGTTATCGCTACCAGCCTGATAACGTATGTAGATGTTTACTACTGCTTCCGTTGCGTCGTTTTAGCACCGCGTTAGTTTAATATTGATTAGCTTAGCGTAGTGTTTGTATCACATTGCATTAGCTTAGCGTCGTGTTTGTTTCACGTTGCATTAGCTTAGCGTAGTGTTTGTATCACATTGCATTAGCTTAGCGTCGCGTTTGTTTCACGTTGCATTAGCTTAGCGTCGCGTTTGTTTCACGTTGTATTAGCTTAGCGTCGTGTTTGTTTCACGTTGCATTAGCTTAGCGTCGCGTTTGTATCACGTTGCATTAGCTTAGCGTTATGTTTGTTTCACGTTGCATTAGCTTAGCGTCGTGTTTGTTGCACGTTGCATTAGCTT